CTACAAGTCTTATTAAATCTGAACTTCAGGGCTGGGAAGGTGGCTCAGTGGTAGAGCGCTTGCCTTGCATGCCTGAGGCCCTGGGTTCGATTCCTCAGCACCACATAAGCAAAAAGAAAAAACCCGGAAGTGGCGCTGTGGCTCAAGTGGTAGAGCGCTAGCCTTGAGCTGAAGAGCTGAGGGACAGCGCCCAGGCCCAGAGTTCACACCCCACGAATGGACCCAAAAAAATAATAAATAAATAAATAAATCTGAACTTCAGCCTATTTAAATGAAGGTTTGCATGCTATTCTTTCCTAGGAGCCTAAACTGTATATAGTCAGGGGATTTGTCTTGATATTTCCATACAAGAATCGAGCATACTTTTAATCATATTCATCTCCTCTATTACTTTTCTTACCATCCTCTGCCCACCATCTTACACTTCATACACTGCTTTCCTGTTCTCAATGTTTCTTCCTGTATTACAGGAAATCCAATCTGGACTTCTTGAGGTTAAGAATGTTTGTGCCAGATACAAAAGGCACAGTCCTAGGTACGTGGAAAGCAGAGGCAAGAAAATCAGTTAAACCCTAGAATTCAAGGCCAGCATGAGACATAGGCAAGACCCTGACTCTTATTCAAAAAAAAAAAAAAAGAATGTTTGACTAGTTCAACTTTGTTTAATTAGTACAACAACACCTGTTACAGGTCCTTGAAAAGTAAAAAATGTTACATTTAACTTTCATAGACCTGCTCACTGTATTCTCAATATCTTTACTCCAAAACAAATCACAAACATAATCTGTCCTTCCTTTAAAAAACCAGTGACTTTGATTCCACTTAATGTTTAATCACACTTACATCAATTTAAACTTGGGTCAAATTACAACATACCTCACCAAAGCCACCAAAGTACTCCCTTATTTTCTCTTCAGGTGTATCTGGAGAAAGGCCACCAACAAAAATTTTTTTAACGGGCTCTTTTGTTTTCATGGCTTTGGCCCTTTTAGGATCAATCACTTTCCCGTTCAATTTATGTTCTTTCTGATCCATGACCTAAAGAAATTAAGTATTTCATTTTAAATATGTATAACTTAACTAACATTCCAAAGACAACTTACGTGTAAAGTAATTATAGTTAAAGATAGCTAAGTTAGGTATATGATGGGCTAGGTCAAGATTAAACTCTCATTATGTGGTGATATGAGACCAGCTAACATATGCAAGTGTTTAAATCTCAAGGTCAGTAAGAGTTAAGACAGGGGAAGAACCATACAAATTTAACCATTTACAAGGAAACATCTCTTTTCATAGATAATAACATACACAAAACCTGGTCACTTAGTTGGTACTTCCCCAGAATCAAAATACTGCTTTGATTAAAAGTTGGTTGCCTATCAAAACTTGTATCTATTAACTTGTCACTGCACATATTTTTAATTAAGCATTTAAATATCCGTTGCATATGTGTGCCCTTGGCATAACCCAGCCAAATCTGAGTATTTTTAAAATAAAGCCCAACATACAGAAAGTACTAACTAAATCTGCCCGCTCCATCACAAAATATATTGACAAAAATATACTTCTTCCTTCTTGGACTTGTAATAGGAAATAGTGTACAAATTCATTACATCAAGCTAACCATGTTTCATTATTTTATATTAGCTCATCAGAATATGTAACACACTACCTTATCTACACTCTCGGATTCTTTAAATAGCACAAAGCCAAAACCCCTTGATCGCCCTGTGATAGGATCTAACTTCAGAGTGCAGTCTACAACTTCACCAAATTTGGAAAAGTAGTCCTTCAGATCTTTCTTTGTAGTGTCCCAGCTAAGGCCTCCTATAAACATTTTCCTGTAAAGACAAAAGGCAGTATTAAAATGCTAAAAAGAAAATAAAACTTTTCCTTATTTATCTATATCAACAGCACATCTTTTCCAAAATGCAATATTACTAGGCAGAATATTTAAATGTCATTCTTCCTATTAGGCACACATCAAAAACCTGTTCCAAAAGCTTTAACATCACTGCTGCTCCTAAGTACTATAATGGTGAGCAAACAGCAAAGTAGTTCTTTCAACTTGCTTTAAAAAAAGATAAGTCCATGTATGTCCCAAGAAAAATGCTAAATACAGTTTTTCTTATTTTAAGTATCAAAGACAGACCATAGCCTCAAATTTCCTCCACTTAAAATTTTTTTCTTTTCGTATTTGTCAAATGTTCATTAAACTGGCCAAGGTCATATGCAGAAGTCAACTCCATTGATAATCAGTATTCTGTCTATGCTGAAGCTCCTTTTCTAGTTTTTTAAGTAGTTCTCCCATTAACAGAGCTATTAGAACAAAATTTTTTGTCTCCTAAGAACCCAAAATACTTAAAGACAAAAATAATCAAATGTACTTGGTGATAATTACCCACTAAAGCACAATTCATGAGCTTAAGGCTTACTTACAGGAGAACCTTGGTTGGCCAGTAATAAAATATTTAAATCTGTAGTGCTATAAGTGACAGGCGGTTAAGTGGGAAACAACCAACCAAAAAAAATAAATAAAAGAAATCTAAGGTTAAGTCAACCTTACAGAAAAATGCCAAGGTGTTCAGTCCTGGCACCAGCTCTGTGATCCTTTTTCCACCTGCTTCTCCATAATACCAAGGGGGGAAAAATTGCCTGTTTCATTTACAATTCTTGACCTGCCAGAATTTGTTATGAAATTTTTACCATGGGATATAATTGATTGCTCAAGGGTTTCTCATCTTTATAAATTGAGGAGTGGGTCATGAGTAGAGATAGGAAAAACATGGCACCAACTTCCAGATGCATGAAGAAATTAAAACAAAGCTTTTCATATAAAACATCTCTATCTTGTGGGCTCTCAAGACAACTGCCACTACGTTCTACTCTTGCAACAAGAGGCCAATTGTCCCTAGAAGTAGGGCTTTCTTCTTAGCCTCAAATATGTCAGATTAACTGAGGAGTTTCTGATTTTACTATTTTACCAGATTTGTTTAACTCTAATGACAAAGGTTTTAATGCAAAAGCATTCTGTCTTAGCTACACAGTGTATTTACTTAGGGTTAAGTTTCCAACTTTCAAATGTATTCTACAGCTGGGCCATTTATGTGCTTAATTTTCTGATTAAAATTTATAAGCGTTAAAGGATTGTAACTTTTATAACTGTTTTTGGTACTATACAACCCAGTGAACATAATCTAACATCCATAATTTTGTGTAGGTATTTTAAATGTTTTTTTGCCAATTCCTAAGGAATTTGAGATTTTCTCAGTATGCATTTTTTTCAATAAAAAAGTTATCATCCTGTGCAACTTATTTACATGTGCTTTATAAATCTGTCATTTTTTAACCCAAAGGTCCAGAGTATATTATCAACATTTGATGAAGAACATCACTTTTTTAAAAAATGATGATAAATGGTACTATAAAGTAATTACTTCTTGCTTAGGTATGTATCAAGTTTTAGGAAAGATGTTTAGCTGCTATTTACTGCATCATCACTTATAATAAAATTTCCCATCAATAACAAAACTAAGTATTTCAACCTAAATGGAATAAAGCTATAATAAAAACCTTACTAATGTTTTATTTTTGTGCCAGTCCTGGGGCTTGCCTCAGGGTCTGGGCAATATTCCTGAGCTTTCTGGCTCAAGACTACTGCTCTAACGCTTGGACCACAGCTGCACTTCTGGCTTGTTGGTGGTTAAATGAGGTAAGAATGTTCCTGTCTGGCTTTGAACCGTAATCCTCAGATCTCAGCTTCCTGAGTTGCTAGGATTACAGGTGTGAGCTTCCAGCACCCAGCTAAAAGCCCTATTTTTAGAAAACAAACTCGAATGACAAGAAATTGTTTTTGATTGTTCATCAAATATTAAAAGAGAATTTGTTTTGATTTTATGAACATGTACACTGGGAAGTATACTTAAAATTAGTAAACAAAAAAACAAAGAAATATAAACACCTAGAATAAGGTGTATTTAATTATATTTTCATCTATTTTTGAGATAGGAAGTTAATCTTAAATATTTGAAATATTTGATCTGTATACCAATTAATCTACTGACTCAATATTCTCTAAAAACAACTTCCCATCATCATTAGTCAGTTAAAATTTAGCCTGCCTTATAGCTGAAAGGGGTAACTGAAGATATATCTTTTCTCAACAAACCTCATTTTCCCGGGAATATCATTTCCTCTGATCAACTATAATTTCTACATATTCCATACAATAATACTGAGCTGGGCTCAGTAGCTCACACATTAACTCCTACTACTCAGAAGGCAAATATTAGGATGGAGGTTCAAAGGCTATTAGGATCCCGTAACAAAAAAGTTGGGTGAGGTTGATTCTGCCTGTCAGCCCAGTACCCCAGTACAGAATATCAAAGTCAAGGACAGCTCAAGCAGAAAGACACATTATCTGAAAAGGCAAAAAGCGCTAAAGTGAGGAAGAATGGCTCAAGTGGTCAAGCAACTGCCTAGCAAGTGTAACAAAGTTCAAGCCTCAGTACCACACATACATGCACATAAGCAACAACAACAAAAAAACTATCCAGTACCTTTATTTAATAAGACAAGCAGTCCACCTTTAAGTATAGCCTACCTTCTCTAATCCCTCATTGTATTTGACATACTTTTCTAAAAAATACCACACCTATCTTAATCAAATACCCTATTAAGTTTTGTACTGAAAGTAGACAATTCTCTAACTTTTCAACTTGACAGAGTACAAACAGTTGCTGAGCTACAACTTAAAAAAAGGGCTCTTCTTTGAAACACATATTTTGGCAACACAAAAGCACTAACTTTTTCTTCTGCTCTTAGAAAGGATAACCAGAAAAACAAATATACAACGAAAACATCAAATCTCCATCTTTACAAAAGACGTATCAAATCTACTCCATTTTTATTCAGTATTCACAGCAAGCTCTAAAAGCATAAAGTCTGTTTATCTTACTTATGGATAAACTGGATACCATCTTAAAGGGCAATACCATCTGTCAGTCCACACTAACTATGGTACATTGAAGGCTAATTTTACTGAGTAAATAAAACTTGCGAGAAGTACTAAGTCGCCAAGTAGCAACAAAAATAGTCTATATAGTAGCTAAGTTTAAAATATGATGATCTTTAATGGGCTGGGAAGGTAGCTCAGTGGTAGAATGCTTGACTTGCATGCATGAGGCCCTGGGTTTGATTCCTCAGCACCATATAAGCAGAAAATCCCAGAAGTGGCACTATGGCTCAAGTGGTAGAGCTCTAGCCTTGAACTGAAGAGCTGAGGAATAGTGCCCAGGAGCAGAGTTCAGGCCCCACAACATACACACATAAAATTTGATCTTTAAAAGAAATAAAGGCTAAGTACTGGTGGCTCCCACCTGTAGTGTACTGTAGCTACTCAGTAAGCTGAGATCTGAGGATCACAGTTCAAAGCTATCCAGGACAGGAAAGTCTGTGAGACTATTATCTTCAATTAACCACCAAAAAAAAAAAAACTGGAATGGGGAGCTGTGGCTCAAGTAGCAGGAGTGCTAGTCTTGAGCAAAAAAGCTCAGGGACAGTGTTCAGGCACTGAGTTTAAGCCACAGAACAGGCACCAAACCAAACCAAAAAAAAAAAGGACTTCATGCCCAGTATTTACTAACAAAGTTTACTTAACATCTTAACCCTACTTGTGAGCTACATATTTCAGTACTTGGAAGACAACGCCTTATTCCTATTTAAAATACCTACTCAACAACAGAAGTTATGTTTCAATAACCACTGATATTTCACCAATGTAAAGTCAATGACCAGTATAGTTACTCAAGTGTATCATTCTATTCAAATGCTACACAGAACATCAGGTTGTTTTATAGGATACCTTTTAGTAAGACTAGAAGCAGGAAGTTCACTGGTAAGAGTAAAGAAATTTTAAAGACTATTAAATCAAGAATTTTGCAATTAGGATTAGAGTGGGTTAATACTGATGTATTGTTCCCAATGTATTAATTGCTCCATGAAAGTTATTACTTTGTAGAAGCAAAATGTAAACATAGCAAAACAACTTTTTCATTTACTCAAACTTTATTTTTACTTCATAGGCTTCATTAACTCTCCAAGACTAAAGGGAAAAGATCACACTTTTATATAAATAGGTTTTAGTGTTATTTTCAATACTAAAGTCTTAAAATACTGTGGAAAAATGTAAAATCCGATGTTTAAATACCTGCAGAGTGGAAATTAGGTCTTTTGTTTAAAGTTAAGGGTCTTCCAAAATTATACAGCTGTATTCACATGGGTCACTTTTTGAGAAAATAATTTAATAACCAAAAGCCAGTACTTATGAGGTAGTGGCTGGCTGGGGGAAAATGTTCCAATAATCCTGTTCTCTCCCTCCCTCCACCAATAACGTAAAATGGTTCTCTGGACTACTACTCAGTTCTATAGTTTTAACACTAGTATGTCAACAATAAATGCTTTAAAGAAAGATACTTTCCTAAGTATCATATTGAGGATATACCTCAAATGATAAGAGTGCTACCTAGGAAGCACAAGGACAAATTCTAATACCAGTAACTTTCCTTAACAAATCCCACTTTCCTTCACTGAGACCAATTATTTAAGAACAAAATTATAAACTTTATTGTTACTTCCAATTTTGAACTAGGAGCAACAATAACAACTCTTTCTTTTTTTTCTTTATGTCAGTTGTGAGGCTTGAACTCAAGAGCTTGGGCACTGTCCCTGAGCTCTTTTGCTTAATCCTAGAGTTTTATTACTTTGAGCCACAGCTCCCTTCTGGTCTCTGAGTGGTTAATTAGAGATAGGACTCTCACCAGAACTTTTTTTTTACCCCTGC